ATATATTATTTTTTTTTTACCTCATTGACAAGTAGAACACATTAAGGCTGATATGAGAGGGGCAATTTTGCCGCTAGAGACAAATCACCAGTGACAGGATCATCATAGAGGCTGCCTGTTTGTTCCTATGGAATCGCTCCCTCTCTAGCCAGATACAGCGAGATGTCGCTCTGTCACTGGCCCAAACGCTGCTGAATTTCAATCACTAGTAGTCACAATGGCAATTTACTGCCACAGCTACAGAGTGAGCAATTTCAAAAGGAGAGACAAGCAGCCTCTTACTTTTCCTGCCACTGGCAGTTTGACAAATCACCAGTAGCGTTGAGTAGTGATGAGCCTTGGCTTGGTGTGAATCCAGTTTGTCTGAGTTCACCCAAGCCCACTTAAAACTGTGACTGACACCCCCTTCTCCCGACTTAATCAGTTGCAGAGGGGCGCATTCTCCACCCCGCAGCTATATGTCACAAAGGGGCAGGGAACACCCGACCGTAACCGATGCCACTGTTTGAACCAGGAGGGGGGAGTAACGGTCACAGTTTTGAGCAGGCTTAGGCGGACTCAGACGAACTGGGTGCACACAAAGCCTTGGCTCATCTCTAGTGATGGGCTGGGGTTTGTTGCCAACCCAGTTTACCTTAGTTTGCTCAAGCCTGCTCAAACCTGTGACAGTCACTCCCTTCCTGCCTAATCAATGGCAGTAGTTGCAGTGATGGCATTCCCCACCCTTTTGTGACATGTAAATGCAGAGCAGGGAATGCGCCTGCCACAACTGATTGGGCCGGGAAGGGTGTGTCGGTCATAGTTTTAGACAAACTCAGGCGAACTAGGTTCGCACCAAGCCCCAGATCATCACTAATTACAAGCAGCAGGATTGTTAATGACAGGCCATCCATCTGACATGAGCCCTAAAATGTATGCATAACCAAAATATTGTAGTTTAGGATAATGTGGAAAGGGTTAGAACCCCTGTCAGGTTTGACTGCTATCCACGGTACTGTTTGATTTTTTTCTCACTTTCTGTTCCAAGGACAAACTCTTACTAGACAGGAAGTAAAAGAAAATATGCAACAGGAACATAGACAGCAATAAACAAGCTGACAGAGTTTTTAGTATTGCCATACTTAACCTAAACTTTTTTATGTTTGTTTGTGTTGTTATTTAAGAGCTCGTTCACAACAATAGCGGTAACTGGCATTTTTTAGCAAATGATCAATGCCAGTCACTGCTAGGGCACAGAGAAAACAATTGTTTTCTGTTCATGTCCTATTTTGCATTACTTCCACTGCTTGCACTTATACCCACAAGCACACGCAACTTTCCATCTAGAAATGTTATTGCCTGCCATGTTAATCCAAAGTTGTAAATACTTTTGTGATTACTCAGTGAGTAGAAGTATGCAAAAAGAGGTTCTGACTTCACATGATACATGCTTGTTCCAGGTAAGTGAATACTAAAATAAATTATTATTCTTTTAAAGTGACAAGGTTGGGGGATAGGGCTAAATGTTATTGGTAGACTAGAGGTCAGAGAAATGGGTGCCAACAGTGTAATCCACAATTGTTTTTAAAGTGACACTAAACTCAGAAGTTAAATCTTAAATATGCATTCAAGTACCTTAACTAGTAACAATACTGGACCTTATTTGTTTGTAGTCAAAGCCACACTGATACGTACCTGAAAATAGAGATGATGAACCTGCCTAACTTGACCTGAGGTGTGCCGTGGTTGCTATGGTCAGTATGCAAATAAGGGGCATACTCAAAGAGTAAATGTTATTAGAATCGGTAAGGGTGGGTGGGGTGTCACGGACATACCGACAGGTGAGTAGGGGAAACGAGGGTGGTTTAAATGTGTGGGGCTTCACCCACAAACACGGCTAACAAATTAGCCTAAAACTTGTAGTCAGAGCCCCACTGATCCATACCTGAAAATAGAGATGATGAACCTGCCTAACTTGACCTGAGGTGTGCTGTGGTCGCTATGGTCAGTATGCAAAAAAGGGGACAAACATGACACTGTAGGGTGGAAAACAGAATTTATTGAAGAGAACAAATTACACGAGAAGTTTAGCAAACACCTGAGCCATCTCCAACTGAGGAGTTGAGGCCCATGTTAGCTATGAAAATACGAACGTGCCTCACAAATTGAGAGGAACTGAGAGGTCCAACTGAAAAGGGCAACAGGGGGCTATCAGGAGGGGAACGACCAAGAGCGCTTACCAATTGGTCCAGAATCTCGACTAGACACCAGGCATTGTGAGTGGTGAAATACTTGACCTCGATGCTCTTGCCAGGTAGCAGAGTCTTGGAATGCTCCAGACATAGACTAAGGTACGTGGGATGATGAATCAGATGTCTCTTGGCCAGAGCGGGGGCTTGTGACCTTGTGACAGTAAACTCCCCGGGTCTGAGGAAACCGTAGAACACTAAATAGATGGCTGCTCTCAAAACTAGGCTGGGGATTTAACCAAAGGGTGACTGAGAAAGCATTCGGTCAAGATCTTAAAACATGCTCATGGAGACAGGAAGGCAACTTCAACTGTAACTTCTGAACCCCCTTGAGTATAGCATTGATAGCATGGGCTGAGAAGATTGATGGCCTATCTGGATCCAGAAGGCACATATGATGTTGAATGCCTGCCAGGTATAACTTAATGGTGTTGTGTGACAGGCCCAGGTTGGTGTGAAAGTAAGCCACAAAAGACAAGATATATTGGTGGTGTGAGAGGAAGACTGGCAGATAGCACAAAAGGGGGACTTCAAACCTGCAAAGTGGCGGGAGAACAGCTCCATGTCAACACAGGCCCATTTGATGTCCACTTGGAAATGGGCCAGGGTTGCTGCCACTTTAGCCTAAAAGCACCTGTAGCAGTCATAAAAGGCGAAGCCACCGTATCTATGCCCCAATTCAACCACCCTGTAAAGATACAAATCCAATTTCTCCCTCCTATTTGTCACCACTGAGCAGACAACGTCCCGGTACATGCTAAATGCCAACACGAACTTGGGCAAGGACAACTTCCGATTCAGTCAGGCATGTTTAGCTTTGAGGCATCCCCACAAGCAAAGGACTTGTTCTCTGCCAGATCATGGGAAGCCAAAAATAGGGAGGCTAGATTAACGTCCTTCCCTTATATAATAGGGGGTAAAAAGTGGGCAGGAGTGATAGAAGGAGGAGAAATGGAAATATCTGAGGGAGCAAGGGAGGGGCAGGAACTAGCTCAGTAGCATGCACTTTGAAGCCGGAGATGTTCTTCTCCACAGATTCCATCCTAAGGTGTGGGTCCTAAACAGAGAATTCAGCAACGTGTGAATCTGCATCAGGGATGTAGCCACAGTCTGTAAGGATATCTGCTCCGCATTAGTAGCACCTTCCCCAGGTAGCAGCGGAGATGGGTAGCAATAAGCAGAAAAGTTCGGCTTTGCGTGGTGTCGCCAGAAAAGGTATTCCCCTGCGCTGGAGCTCAGCCTTCAGTCGGGGAATAGCGAAGGGGGGAAAAAAAATGTTAGAAGGGACCCCATTTTTTAAAAAAAGAATTAAAAAAGCATGGGGTTCCCCCCAAAAGTCATACCAGACCCTTAAAGTCTGGTAGGAATTTTAGGAGGGCCCCCATGTAAAAAACAAAAAAAAAAAAAAGGTGTGTGGGGTTCCCCATTAAAGTCATACCAGACCATTAAGGTCTGGTTGGAATTTTAAGGCCCCGGTGGGGACTAGGGCCTCTTTCCCACAAGCCCTGGGGCATTGGTTGTGGGGGTGAAGGCATGGGGCTTATTCTCATCAGGGTACCCCTTTAATAGAGGGGCACCCAGATGCAACCTCTGACATTGTGAATAAGTAAGGGGTACCCCTACCCATTCACTAAAGGGTTAAAGAAAAGCTTTAAAAAAAGAGGCCAGACTTTGGAAAAGATCCTTTATTTGAAAAAAATACCAAAAGACATGTTTTTGACAAGTGTTTTAATTTTTTTAATTGCTCCACCGACGTAATCCAGCGTCAATCACGACGTCCAGTGTTGTCCACGATGAGGACAACTCGGCGAAATAAAAAATAAAACAATAAAAAAGAGATATTTTAAAAAGACAAAACCCAACGACCGACGTCCCGTCCGCTCGCGCCGAACACCCGCCGCAGAATGGCATTTTGACAGATAACTACAACATATAAATAATTGGGCAGAGCTAGCAGTGACAGCTAGCTCTGCCTAACTGTTTACAGTTGTAACAGGTGAGCCATGATTGGGCAAAGTCATCATGACTTTGCCCAGTCATGGCTCTCGTAGTTCTCTATGTCCTGATTGGGCAAAGTCTTGCACCTGACCTGTAGTCAGGTGCAAGCCTTTAGCCAATCAGGGCTCACAAGGCACAGTGCCGTGTGGGGTGCTTGGCGGGCGCACAGACCCTGACAGTTCGTGTGTTTGCCGAACACACTCACACACTGTTCGGCTCGAACATCAAGCCCATCACTAGTGGAGAACAGAAGCAAGAAAGGAAATTCTTCATACTAGGGTTGATTTACTAAAGTAGAGCATGTTTACTTTGTAAAGTCAATTTTCAGTAAGCTTAGTGAATGAGGGGAAGCTAAGTGACATTTCACATTTCACTTTGAATAGAATACCCAACGGTGTGCAAAGAAAATGTAAAAAAACAGGCATTGCTTGCACATGATTGGAAAACTAAAGTAAGCACATTCACCTTGATTGATGATTGAAGACAGCACCTCATTCAATAAGCTGAGAATATACTTTGAAAAGTGAGCATGCTCTACTACCTTAGTAAATCAACCACACTGACTCCCTTAACCACAGGTACCATAGCAGTTGCACAGCGTACAATAGTGGTAGCTTTGTCTGCCTGGAATTTTTCCTCTGCTATTTAACTAATATTTAAAAAAAAAAGGATACTGGGGGGAATGTATCAAAATTTGGGCAGTTGCCCATGGCAACCAATCAGCTTCTCTCTTCAGCTTGTTCAGTTAAGATTTAAAAATTAAAGAGAGAAGCTGATTGGTTGCCGTGCACTGCTGCTTCAGATTTTGTCTGCTTCAGTTTTGATGAATCCCCCTCACTGTATTTAGTACTGGTTACATTCAACTGGAAGTTTTCTGTAATGTAAAGTTCAACATTACAGAACAAGTCCAGTTGAATCTGGCACACTACTACCAGCTATACCCTGGTCTTGATAAATAAAATCTATACAGGCATATGGCAAAAGCAAGCTACTTCATCCTTTGGTCAATGTTAAAGGAGAACTATGGGGTTAAAGTGACATTAAACCCTCAGATTTTTTTAACATAAACCAATACTGTAATGTGTGCCTTACTGTAATCCATGGTTGTTTCCCTTCTCTTTGCTGCTCTTCCTTTTAAATCTGTATCTGTTCTCATGCTGGGGGAGAACTTCCCTTTGCAGCTGAGTGCCCCTTCCTGTAGTACTGGCTCAGGTTGTGAACCTACACACAGACACCATGTATCCATTCCAGAGACAAGGCAGTCTGCTGCAAAACAGAAGTTCTGCCCAGCATGAGAAGAGATAAGGATTTAAAAGGAAGAGCAGCAAAGAGAAGGGAAACAACCGTGGATTACAGTAAGGCACATATTACACTATTGTTTTATGTTAAAAAATCTGAGGGTTTAATGTCACTTTAAGGCTTTTCCCCATAGTTCTCCGTAGGGTAACGGGATGACACAAACTAGCGTCCTCCCGTCACCCTAGGCTCAGTATACATACCATACACCCTTAAAGTCTGGTAGGAATTTTAGGAGGGACCCCATGTAAACAAACAAAACAAAAAAAACTAATGCTGAACGAATACTTAAATTACTATCAAAGTAGTCATGCTGAAGCTACTGTGATGGAACTTGACAACTATGATGAACGACTAGGCCTAAATAGTTATGCTAGAAAGTACCAGCATCCTAAAATGACCATTGACCTATACCATCTTTAACACAATCCCTTTATGAATCTCTCAACACACTATGTGAAAAGAAGTATGGTGTGCAAAGGGCTGCTATTGGTAACAATGCATATAGTTTCTAAAGCTATGCTTGAAAACCACTGAAGATAGCTTATATCTCATTCAAAAATGTACAAAATGCAAGACTTTAAAGAAAAAACTGTTAAAAGAGAAATATGTGGGTTGTTACTGCTGACCTCTTCCCTGGCTGTCATGCTGGCACAGAGCAAGAATGCAATTTAGGAGTAAATTCTCATTCAAATGGCATGTGCGTTCCCTATTTCATCGCAATAGTGTGCATGGGCCCTAAAAGAAAGATTACTTCACATATTCAACTCTTCACACATGATCAATTTAAAATGAAAGCAGCAACTGAATTGAACCAGTAAAAAGCTACAGCCAAAATGGTGAAGAGTTTGGAGAAGGCAGGAGAAGTGAACAATCTAGGACAACATAGCGGAACTGGAAAGTGAGCTGAATTGGAGAATTTTTCCAAATCAGCTATGTTGTCCTAGATTGTTCACTTCTCCTGTCTTCTCCAAACTCTTCACCCTTTTGTGAATAACCCTGATAGAGTACACTGCAACAATAGATTTACAATTATCCTCTGCTAACATGAATGGGTTAAATGATCCATACTACAATGCTACATACAGATAATTTAATCCATTCATGTTAGCAAAGAATAATTGTAAATCTATGGTCTCCAGTGTAACCCTATATGTATAACATATAGGGTACACACTGCTTATACACTGGAGACTAGGGATGTCCCGATACCGATGCTAGCTTCGGTATCGGGCCCGATACAGGGCATTTTCACAAGTACTTGTACTTGTGAAAATGCCCGGTACCTAATGCCGATGCTTGCGCATCAGTGTTGATTTGGTATTGCCCGACGCCCGGGACATATAGTTCCAGGCGCCGGGCAAACGAGAGCAGGGGGCGTGGAGCGGTTGACGGCGGGAGGCATGGAGCGGATGACGGCGGGAGGCGTGGAGCGGATGACGGCCGGAAGTGTGGAGCGGAAGTTAGCCCATGTGTGATAGCAATAAAGTTAAGTGAAAAAAATTGTTAGGAAAAATAAAAAATAATACAATAAAAAAGTTTAAAAAAATAACAACTGATTAAAAATGTAACTAAATAAAAATAAAAAGACGATAAAGTAAAAATAATAAAATAAATGAAAATTAAAAATGTTTACAAAGTAAATAAAAATTGAAAAAAAATAAAACCAGCCCCGATGCCCCCATCATCTGCATGCAAATAAACGCACAGTGTTTTCAACCGCGATCGTGTGCAACCGCACGGGCAGGGCGATATTGCGGTGGGAAACCGCACAATCTGCCTGGCACGACTGGGGTGCCATTCGAAAATAATGGCACTGCCAGCGCGATCGACGGTGGTATAGAATCCGTGACCGCCCGGTCATCGTGCACGAAACCGGGCTGTTTTCGCTGGCAGTGCCATTATTTTCTAATGGCACTCCATTCGCGCCAGGCAGATTGCACGGTTTCCTGCCGCAATACCGGCTGGGCGGTCCCACACGATCGCGGTTGAAAACATGAATAGTTTAAATGTTGTAATGTTCTAAAACAGTCTTTAATTAAAGTTCTTCATAATCATAAACAAATTGGCCTAAAATCATTAGTCTATTGGTTTTTTTAAAATATCACCTGTCCCTTTTAGAAAAAGGATCGGTAATTGGTATCGGCAAGTACATGAGGGGAGGTACCTGGTCTTAAAAAAGGGGTATCGGGACATCCCTACTGGAGACCATAGATTTACAATTAGTCCCTGCTTTACAATTAGTCATCGTCCCCCCCCCCCACTTGCCCTCACTCACTGTGGCGGGAGAGCACTACTGCGGCGGGAGAATTAGTCCCTGCTTTACAATTAGTCGTCCCCCCCCACTTGCCCTCACTCACTGTACTGCGGCGGGAGAGCAGTGACGAGTCAGCGCTGGTCCGGTAGGAGGAGCTCCAGGTGGGGTCCTAATTTAGCTGGCCCAGAGGTGCCGGGCAGCTAAATTAGAACGCCACCTGGAACTCCTCCTGTCGGACCAGCGCTGACTCGCCGCTGCTCTCCGGCACTGAAGGACATCGTCGGCGAAGAGGAGCATCGGGTCACTGCTGTTCCGGTGGGCGGCGCTCTCAGTGGGATCCTCTGGGCAGTCGCCGGCCACCTAAATTAGGATCCCACCTGGAGCTCCGCCCACAGCAGTGACACGACGCTCCTCCACTCAGCCCACAGCAGTGACGCTCCGCTCAGGTAACGTTAAAAAAAAAAAACAACAGCGCAAGCTTCGGCGCTATGCATCGGAGCATTTTGACAAGAACAAGTACTTGTCAAAATGCCCTGTATCAGGCCCGATTCCGATGCTAGCATCGGTATCGGGACATCCCTATTATGAATGAATCATAGTTGTAGTTATAGTAAACACACAATGTTCTCAAGTTATGAATGAACAGGAACACTCATAAAACATTTTTCTGACAATTTTTTATTTCGGTTTCGTTTCGGTTTTTAATTTTCCTTTTTGGTGCACCTCTAGTCTTGGTCACTCATCCCATGTCTGTCACATTGGTCAGCCCCTGGGTTTAGTTGTGGTTGGATTCTGACTGTAGTAATCCCTAATTGTAATAGCCGACACTCCCTGCTTGTATTAGCGGTCCATCACTGGGTAAAGTTGTGGTTAATTATGTGACTGTAATAGTGGCGCAGTGGTGGTTTGTCCATATGTGCAGTATAATGGTTCCTCTACCTATGTCCGATGTAAAAAGCCAGTTTGCGTCTAGTGGTTGTGGTCATACCCCATGTCCGGCAGTGATCACTATCTCTGTGTCTAATGGTGGTCAATCCCAATGTTTTTCCAGCTTAAGCTCCTGTGCTGCTTCCTATTATACACTACTCATTTACTCTTTCTTCTCATGCCAGATGACATAGCAACATTTTTGATCAATGAATGTCTCCAGACTACTCTGAACTTGACTTCATGTACCTCATTTAAGCATTACACTACCTGCCACTGGCAGGAGAGGTACCGGAGCAGTGCTGACCTGTGACCACAGGACACAAGGACTGGTTTAACAGTGGCCTAATAGGCTTTACTGAATTTAGGTTTAAGACTAAGAAGCCCATAAACTTTTAATGGTGGTTACTGCTAGAAACTGCTGGTAGTCCTACTGTCGATCCTGTGTTTTTTGTGCATGCATGCATAACTTTAATAAAGAAAGTTACCTGTATATCACAGTTTAGCATCTTTTTGCCTTAGCTAATCGCAGTCTTCACATACGAGCAGTGGCGTAACCAGAGTTATGGGCGCCCGGGGCAGAACATTTTTTTCGCCCCCCCCCATATTATATAAACATCCACTAGAACTGTACCCCACACCCCCACACATATTTATCAGCTAAGGAACTACAAGTCCAAGCATGCCATCATTGTCCCTGTACACCCCCCCC